CCTTCTCCCTTCCCCTATTATGCATCTCCATTTATCTCCATACACAAGCCTGTTCTACTCTTATCATTATAGTACTTGTCATTAAACCCATGCCTGCAGTGTGGGTTCATTTTTTCTAAATACTTTCCATTTTTTTCACAAGCAATAGTGGCAGATTCTCAATGGGTTACGTTTACAGAAGGTAAAGAACATCTAAGGTAATTTTACTTTCTGCTAGAATGTACATTTATGCTGTGAGAACTGAAGCTATTTGATAACCAAAAAGTTAATTGCCACAGAAGCTATCTCGCATCATCTACATACATTTATATTCACAGAAGAGATCTTCTGATCTTTATTAGATATAAAAATTTAAAATTCTTGACCAATGCACCAGTAATTATTGGCCTAACAAAGAACCAATATGAAGGAGGAAAAGAAAAAATCTCACTGATGCACAATATTTTTCAGCAAGCCATTTAATAAGAGTTTTGAGCCATGCAGAGTATGAAATTTGAAGTTAAGGCTGATTAGTCTTCAGATTACAAGACCCTCTTATAATGTCAATAAATAAGAAACAAATTTCACAAAAGAGAGTGACTAACATTATTTTACTATCACATTGAAATGCAAAGATATCTAAAAGCATAGCGATAAGGATGAGATTCTAGTTAGTTATGAAGGTGGTAAAATTAATGTAGATAATGTTTGCCCTTTCAAGTTAAACAATTAAAACAGGCAATGGCGTTAGCATTCTCATTAAATTTTGAATAAGCAAAAATCACCTAAATTCCTGTAGCTACCTGCTCAGAAAATAAATATTAGTTATAAATACCAGTAAGGAAACTAGGATTTTAAGGCTATTTCTTCAAGATGGAACATTTTTTAGCAATGTTCTTGAGAAATTCAGAAAAATTAACTGAGAAAGAAGAAGAAATATAGTAGATGAAACTTCTCATATTATAAATATTCATAAATATGACTGAGCCCTTGGCAAAATCTAAAAATAATTTTTCATTGAAAAGCAGATTTCTTGTCCCGCAAATACCCATTTTGTATCCTGAATACTTCTACTGTATCTTTTATTTTATGCCTTATGCAAAAAATATAACTATTTATTGTAGGGCTGAACTTTTAGTCATAAGCAAACAAAAAAAATCCATATTTAAAAGGTTAAAACTAAGCTGGGAAGTTATTGATATGCCATCAGGACTTACACAACTCAAAATTAATAACCCCAGCAGGTTGAAAAGTGACTGGGCAAAAAGGTAGAGTACCTTGGCCTTGTCTATGTCCCAGGTAACCAGGTTTCACGTTTTCTTCCAAAGAGGGCCCATATTTTCCCCAGTCTTCCCTTTATCACCAACTTACCTGTAGAAGCTTTTCTTGCCTTTGACATGGCTGGCCAGGTTTAATTCTATCAGGACTTTAGCTTTGCTAACCTGATCCCTGATTGCTCAGACAATCTCTCTGTATTCCTCCCAGGCTACTTGTCCTTGCTTCCACTCTCTATAGGCTTCCGTTTTATGTTTGAGTTTGTCCAGGAGCTCCTTGTTCATCCATGCAAGCCTCCCGGTGTTGCCTGTCTTCCTCTTTTCTGGAATTCATCACTCCTGAGCCTGGAGGAGGTGGTCCTTGAATATTAATAATATTTCTTGGACCCTTTGCCCTTCCAGGGCTTTAGTCAACTGTTCTCTACCAAACAGATCCCAAAGAGGCCAAGGTCTGCTCTCCTGAAGTTGAGGGCAGTGAGCTTGCTGTGCGCTCTCCTTGCTCTCCTAAGAATCTTTGACTCCACCATGGCAGACCAGGCTGCCCTTGAGCTTCACATCTGCCATCAGTCCCTCCTTGTTGATGAGACTATAGCACCATAGCACATCTTCTTGATAGCTCCTCCATTACTTACAGGAGCAATTTATCCTCAAACAATCCAGGGTGCTCAAGGAATGCATTATGCCCCGCTGTGTTATCCCTCCAATAGATATCCAAATGCCTGAAGTCCCCCAGGCTTGGGGCTTGTGAATGTGAGGCTGCTCCTATCTCTCTATAGAGGGCTTTATCCACTCTGTATTCCTGGTCAGGCAGCCTGTAGCAGATCCCCACTAAAATGTCACCCGTTCCTGTCCTCCCTTTAATGTTGAGTCATAAGCTCTTAGCTCCTCATCCATCCTCAGGCAGAGCTCCATGCACTCCAGCTGGTCATTGACAGAGGGCAACACCACCACCTCATCTCCCCTGTCTGCCCTTCATAAAGAGCCTCTATCCTTCCATTTCAACCCTCCAGTCATAGGAGCTATTGCACCACGTCTCTGTGATGTCAGGAAGATGATAGCCCTGCAGGTGTGCATGTCTCTAACTTGTCTTGTTTATTTCTCATGCTACCTCTGTTCGCATAAAGGAGTTTAAGTTGGGCCCCAATTTACTCTGTGGAGTAGCTGGAATTCCTTTGTGCTGCCCTTCAGGTGCTCTCCTGCTGACCTGTAATCCATCTCCAAGCTCTTTGCATCTTTTTCTGGCCCTGGCATCAAACTGGTAGGACTGGGCTGGATTGAGGTTCCCCTTCCCTGGCAACTTTAGTTTGAAGTTCTCTTCACCAGTTTGGCAAGTCTGTGGCTGAAGATGCTCTTTCTGACTTCTCTGATAGATGAACTCCATCAGCCCCCAGTAGACCAGGTTTCTCAAAGCAAGTTGCGTGGTCTAATTAGTCGAACTCCTTGCTGTGGCACCAGTCCAGTAACCATTTGTTAATTCACCAGATTTGATTGGCCCTGTCAAACCCTCTCCCTCTGACCAGGAGGAATGATGCAGACTTCCAGCTTATATATGACACTTCTTAAAAAATTAGGAACACAAAAACATTGCAGAAGAACGAGAACATAAAGCAAACACTCAAAAGAAATGCCAGTTTGAAGGTGATGGAGTTATGGCTCCGCTGGAATTGAGTGAGTTACAAATTTAAAAATATCGTGTGCCATTTTTTCCTACAAGTGAATGATTGTGCAAAATTTCTATTCAAAGTCAATTAACACATAACTCTAGAGTTTTGTTGCTATACAAAGCATGAATTGATGGTAGAATCTCAGTTTCATGGGCTAGGAGTAGATGCATGGATGTTGTGACCAAAACTGCTTATTAATATATGGATTGCTAAATAAAAATAGCATGGATATTAATTGTGAAGTTGCTTTGCGTGGTATAATACATTACCAGAGTATTTACTTTATATTTATGGGTCTGTGGCTGGGTTTGGGTTTGTTGGGGTTTTTTCTGGAAAATTAACACCAAAAATTATGTGTATAATCTCATCTGTTTTCTGTTGGAGACTCGGTGTCTTTTTCATGCACATATGGCATCTTGTGTGGGATGAAAGTAAAGGACATACACAAGATAAAGATTCTGTGACTCAGATTAGTACTGAAACTTATCTGCATTAACATTAAACTGAAAGAATATTGGGGAAAATGATGCCTTACAGCTGTGTATTTCTGATCCAATATGTATTTTCAATAGAAGAAATTGTAATTTCAAATTACAAAAGAAATTTCAAAATAAGTAGAGCTCCATCATGTCATTAGAGGTTCATAAGATATAAGCACCTTGTGGATTACATCAGAGGAAATAGAAGTTACTCTCTTTATAACTACCAGATACAACTTCAGTGTTTTATACTGCTTACAAAACCATATTCATTTCAGGTGATCTATAACTGCATGTGTTAATTTTCTACACATTTTTATTTCCTCTATCAAAATATTTTTAATAAAATTAAGTGATCTTTCAAATTATGGCATATAATGACAAAGTTAATTCAGGCAAAGGTATTTAAAATCATCATTTATCTGTATATTCATAAAATCCAATTTCTCAATAAAATAAGATCTTGATATATAAACATTTTGAATTTTAACAATAAAATGGGCATTAGTGTAAAAAAGGTTTCTGTTATTTTGAGAAATTACTTAAAAGAAGACAGAGTCAAAGGATGACATCCAAACACAAAAAACCCCAATAATATGTTTTCAAAAATTTCATCAATAACACAGTATTTCCAAACATTGACAAATGATGAATTGTTTCAATGGCTGTAGGATTTTGTAAATGAAGTGAAAATATATTATCTAAATTATCTGAGCAGAGATGGAAAAAAATCAGTAAGAAACATGCAGAAGATCCCTACTTCTGAAGCATAAGGTCTCTCAGTGTTTTGCTTTAATTTGCAACTACATGTCTCTCGGTTGAATTCCTGTAAAAATTTCAAAAGAGACCCTAGAGATAACCTCATGGTTATAATGCAAACCTATGTTGAAGAAAAACCTTTTTATGTTACATCAATATTTTTATCTGATATAAAAGACAGAAACTGTGGAGAATATGTTCCAAGGATCTACAAAGTACAAAAAAAAAAAAAAAAAGAAAAAAGGAAAAAAAAAGAGTAAGAAGGTGCTGCGAACTACTCCTGAGAATTACTCTTTTTAAAAACTTAATAACCCAAACTTTTTAGTTTATGCTTCAAAACTAGTGCTAGTAAGTTCCGGCAAACAACATGAAAAATTGTGACTGAACTGCATTACTCCCTCCTCCCTTACCTGATGAGGCAGCATCAGTACTTGTAGATGCTTTCCTAGCCTATTCTTAAAATGATTTGTGATGGAGATGCCACTGCCTCTTCCCCAGGCACTTTCAATGTTTCACTAATATTTCTTTTTCTAATATTTTACTTGCTTTGACTTTGTTGCAACAGAAGTCCATTATTTCCTGTTTCTAGCTACCGCAGATGTGGATGATATACCATGTCTTTTACTTTCGCATTTCTAAGGGTGCCCAAATCTCTGATCTCAAAGAGCAGTGCACAGAACTTGCCACAGTGTTTGCAGGGAAGCCCTACTGCTCCAGAGCAGACCAAAAGACAATGTACTCAGCAGTAACCATTATTCTGTGCCACATATAGCCCTCATGCACAGTCAAGTCAGAGTGAGAGGAGAGAGCTGCAAAGAAGAGACTTTGTGGGCCATTATGAAGAGAGACAGTATCCATGGAAAGGCTGCACATACATCTCTTTTTCACAGGAGCTGTATTTCAAATTTCTTGCAGAGTATCTTTCTGTTTAGTTTTTTCCTAATATAGTGTTTGTGCCTCGTTCAATATTGTTGACATTCATTCTTGTGCTTGTGACTTTTTAACTTCCTGGTGTTTTTGTAAAGAACTGTTCCTCAAGCTCTTGCTCCCATTTCTGCATCTGTGCAACTAATTATTTCTGTGTTAAGTACTTTGCACTTATCTCTATCAAAATTCATCCTGGTTTTTCAGGCCATTTCCCAAACTATCCAGACCACTTTGAATTCTAATCTTGTTCTCCCCCACACTTGCAACTTTCTCCAGATTTATTTCAACTTCAAATTTAGTAAGCATATTTTATATTTCATTTATATTTTACCGTGGCCAGTAACACTAATAAGGAATTCTACATCTCCAGAATGCTGGTTTTCTTAGAGAATGATTTTGACATGGCCTCCTCTTTTGACAGTGAAGCCTATTAACTCTTTGGAAATGTCTTTTTCCAACAAGTGTTGCATCTGTGCTATAATGCCAATCAATAGAAAATGTCCTTTCTTTAAAAAAGTCCTGTGAGACACTTTCAGAAGCACTATTTAAGGTCAAGATCTGTGCTACTTGCTCCTTTTCTTCCTCTCCACAAAGCTTTTTAACTAGTAACAAGATGTTCTGGGTCAAATCCATGCTGGCAGTTAGTACTTTGGAGGTGCTTACAAATAGTTTCACTGCTTTATCATATTTCATGGAATTTTAATTTAACAGGATATTCTGTAGTTCCTTGAGCACACTTTCTGTCTTATCTCTTTTTTTAATTAGATTTTTGATTGTTATTTAACAAGAGCAATGAATCTACATGTTTTCAACTGTTAGCATTTAATTTTCTTGACTTTCTGAAAATAACTGCTGCTACTAGGCACTCTGAAGATGTGACTGATTAAATACTTTTAAAGTTTTATACTGTGCTTTTTTCCTAGTCTACACAGACTCCTTCTCATTTTACAGTATTAGGTATGCTAGCTGCTAAACACAACTGATCTTTTTGGACATCAGTGATGAAAAGAAAATTAATTCCTTTCACCGAGTTATGGATATATATTTTCCTAGAAAATATTTTCCATAGAATCACAGAATGGGTTGAGCTGGAAGGGTCCCGCAAAGATTATCAAGTCCAACACCATGTGCCTGAGAGTATCATCCAAATGCTTCTTGAGGTCTGGCAGACTCAGCGCTGTGACCAATTCCCTGGGGAGCCTGTTGCAGTACCCAACCATGGCAATTGAAGACATGGACTTCACATGATGGTAAAAGCGAAGACGTTTATTATTTATTTCAGCAGGCTTTTTATACCTTTTACACAATAAGCTGCAATTGTTCATTTACATCCGTGAGTCCTTGCTGCTAGCTACGGTATTATAATATTTTTACCTATTAGCAACGTTAGTTCCTTTTGTCCTTTGTTCAAGTTTCTCTTTCTCCCTAGGGAACCGCTCCTCCTTACTTTTCCCATGGCTTGTGTCCTACAAGGGTAACAATGTCAATTTCTTGCTGTCTTCCCTTATCAGAAACCTCTACACCCAACCACCCTTTGGGTGAAGGACCTTTTTCTAATATCTAACCTAAACTTCCCCTGACACAACTTCAGGCCATTCCCTCTTTGCTGGCACTGTACAATAACACATGTGCATTGCAATACAATGTCTTGTATTCCTTGATATATTCTTGCAGGTTGCATCACATTTTATAGTCCAACCTTTCTGAATTTTTCTTTATAAATAAGTATATTATTATTTTATGTTTGGTTGTGGCTTTTTAAATTTGCACTAGAAGCTGTGTATATTTTATTGTTTGTTGTTTTGTTTTCATATTTTTAATACTGTTTTAGTCAGGTTAAACTACAAGCTTGCAATTTACCAGCACTGGTCTTCTGCACTTATCCTCACTCATTAAAATAACTCGCTTTCAATTCCTCAAAGATCTGCCATCTCTTTTTAATTCCTTTTGATCATACCCCTGCCCACATAAACTCCAAGCTTAGTTTTGCACAAATAAAATAAAGTTCTCAAAACTCTTTTAATTATTACTCAGAGAATTTCAGTGGGTCTATTTTTCTGTAAGTCTAAATCTCAGACCTCAGCTCTTGTATTAAGTAACATCTATCTTATACTTCTTGTTGACTTTTCTGAAGATGAATAGCATTACAGATCTTTAGATCTACAGACCTTTAGAGGCGGCCTGATCTGTCCTGCCATGACTTAGAACTAAGCCTGGCTGGATGCTAATAAAACATAGTCCTTTACAATACTACTCAAGTCATACAACTTGAATCCTATTGATTCATAGAAGTAGAAAATAATAGTCACCTGTCTTGTTATTTTTTGAAGCTACTTGTTCACTGCAATCAGTTATTACTAATTACAGAATCACAGAATCATAGAATCATTAAGGTTGGAAAAGACCTCCAGGATCACTGAGTCCAACCTTTGACCAGTGTTGACCTTGTCAACTAGACCATGACACTAAGTGCCACATCCAGGCATTTCTTGAACACCTGTCTTGGTTTGAGGCAATTTGGAGGGGTGGAGACTTCAGACAGAAGTTTCCTCCCTTGGATTCAATACTCCTAGTTACCCCAATACAGAGACAGAGACCAAAGACGCCCGACTGTAAGTGAAAAAATAACTCTTTACCAAGAAGAATGTTAAAAGCAATACTGATGAAACTGGTTAAACCAATCAATGAGGAGAAACTTCCCAAGCCCTGCCCACCAGACTAATCAAGATGGTGGCCAACCTCCCCCACATGGAAAAAATACACAGGGCCATAGGACAGAGACAAGATGGCTACCCTTCCCATGGTCTGCCTCCCCCACACCTGGAAAATCTGGCAGGAATGGTTGGAGAGTCAGTGCTGAAGTGAGGCCTCAGTGCTGGTACAGGCAGTGGGAGCAGGGCTGTGGACCCCCCAGGCAACTGGAAGGACACACAAGACACTCATTGGATCCAGCAATGAGACTTGGTTGGTGCACTTTCTATGTTAGTTGGTCGAAGTGGGGGTTGTAGTGCTGTCAAAGTGGTGGTCGCAGTCCAGGTCCATCAAGGTAGTGGTGGAAGACCCAGGTAGTCAGAAAAGCTCTGTGTGGTGAGGGAAGAAAACCCAATGTTGAGTGAAGTCCTAGTGTGGTCTTTTATTGGGCTCAGGCTAGGTGGGAATGCCCCCTGTATCTCCCCTAGGGCTGTTATGTCAACAAAGATGGATCCATTATGGTTCATCAGCAGAGATGAATATCTGCAGGCTATGTGTCCCAATGCTTCTGTGGAGGGGAATTGTTACAGCTGAGTCATTTGTGTAAGGACAAAGAAACAACACCCAGCTTGTAGCCTGAGGAGGCATGTGTGCACAACCTCAGCACCTGGGTGGTTACTTTGCACATCATCAGTCTGAGTCATCAGCATTCCAGTCCTTCACATCTGCGGATATGTTCTTCTCCTAGGATAATAGTACCACTCTTATCTCAAGTTCCAATCACAGTCCAAATTAGTAGGCATATTTGGGGTAAAGAGAAAAGAAAAGGTGGATACCAGAATATTTGTGTAATCCAGGACAACCTCCAGGGATGGTGACTCCACCACTTCCCTGGGCAGTCCATTCCAATGCTTAACCACCCTTTCTGTGAAGATACTCTTCTTTCAGGTAGTTCTAGGGAGTGATAAGGTCATCCCTGAGCCTTCTTTTCTTCAGGCTAAGAAATCCCAGCATCCTCAGCTGCTCCTCATAAGACTTACTCTCCAGATTCTTCACCAGCTTCATTGCCTTTCTCTGGACATGCTCCAGCACCTCAATGTCCTTCCTGAATTGAGGGGCCCAGAACTGGACACAGTACTTTAAATGTAGCCTCACCAGTGCCAAGTACTGTCCCCAGAAGGGAGACAATCACTTCCCTGGTCCTGCTGGCCACACTATCCTTGATACAGGACAAGACTCTCTAAGTTGTATTCAAAGCTATCATGCTCCTACAAGTACCGGGAGAACTGGTAAATGTATAAGAGAAAGAATAAAGATAGTTCCCTTTCTGGCTGAAAGACATAACTAAGCTTTATATCCACGGTGAGATAAAAAAATTTAACAAAGATTTTTATCCACTGTGAGAGGAAGAAACCAGCTACGTAGGTTGCATAGGAATTGAGGAAACAACATACCTGATCATAACACATGTGGCCACTCCCCTGGCAAATATCAGGGGAAGCAGAAGAGAGCTGAGGACACTGCAGTGATGACAGGTGGTGGGGACATGCTAGGGCTGAGAGTGTTGTAGCAATGGGAGAATGAAAGATGGGAATTTAAAAATCCATACAGAGCTAGATATCATTGTTCTACCACTCATGAATGGATGGAGTCTTTGCCACCATTTAGCAGTACTGAGAGGATTCTTTTAAATGTAACTGGTCTCTATTTTGCATCCTGGAGGAAATGCTGTTAGATGTAAATAAACCAGATTTTGTTGTCGCTGTTACATCACCACCATCAGAATTAAATAAGCCAGTTTCCATATATTGTTTTTAGTGGTGAGACAGACATGGAGAGAACTTAAGCTCAAATTTTAAAATGAAAAATGAAAGCCAGATGGATTTTACATAGGGGTTCCTGTTAAAAAAATATGTTGAATAACAAATCCTACTATAAAGCTCTTCCCATTAGCAGTTTCTCCTGGTCCTTTGACTATTTCTGTTTTTAACTGCTTTAGAGATGAGTTTTCCCTTCCAGCTGTGTCATATTCATCTAAGTAATAAAGTCCTGTTTATATGCCTGTTGATGTTGTCATAAACACTATACTTTTCCAGAAATAATTTCTTGTCATATTTCTCTTGCTATTGAAATTCCCGACTCTCTGGTTCTAGAAATCATTATCTTTTTTTTTTTTAATAAATAAATAAATAAATAAATAGTATGTTACACCAGAAATAATTAACTTTCATTAGTCATGAAATCCTGTTAACTTTCCCTGGAAACCCTCATAGCCTTATGATGGTGTAAACAACAGAAAAGTATATATATATATATATATAGAGAGAGAGAGAGAGAGAGAGAGAGAGATAAATGAAATATACACGTATATCCCATATACATATAGATATCTCCCATATATATATAAAATCATATACGCAATATGCAATATACAGTTTTTATATATATAAATGCAATATGTGCTAGAAGATGTCTGCTAGGATTGAGTTACTCATACAGATAAGATAATTCACTCTAATGTCGGATGAATGAATAAACAAAGTGAAAGACCTGAAGTGCAAAGCTATTATGAAAAGTAAATATTTAGCAGCCAAAAAAGGAAGAAAATAAGGGACAAAAATAATCTAAATTTTGACAGCAATTCAGCCTTTAAATTATTGAAATAAAGATAAAAACTATCTAAGAAGAAAAGCTGAAAAACATCTCTCTAAATTCCACAAAATGATTGTTTTGGAGACATATCTTAGTTTAAGGGAAACAGATGCTTACATTAATGGCTTTAGATATAGCTTGCCACAAGGTTCAACTATACCAACTAACTGAATTATGAGTAATTTCAAGTATATTCAAATAAGGGGAAAATGTATTTCCTTGAAATTATTGTTGAACAAAATCCTAAAAAGTTATATGATGCTGAATTATTCTGCTACTCATGTGACATCACTTCAGTAACTCAAGTTTTATTCAAATTTAGTCATGTGGCATGTTAGAATAACTCCTTATGTACTTGAAAAAATAATTAAAAAGACCCCTTTATGTCTAAATATTGGTACTACCTTCAACTAATCAACTCTGCATTCTCACCATAAATTAAGAAATAATCTAATCTGCTGGAAGAGAATCATTACCAAAAATAGCATATATTGTCATTTGATCACGTGGAACAGGGTTGATTTTAAAGAATGATAGAATAAACAATCTGAATGACTTGCATCATTCCAACTAATAAGAGATATCTTTTTAATTGTCAAATAAATTTGCTGACTTTTCAGTGATTAATAGGGTTTCCAGGGAAGAAGTGCCAGGGACTAACAAATTCTGTGCTTACATTCTGTGTGTTTTGTGTCCATTTCAGAACAGCTATAACTTAAGCCATTAGCTCTTCAGGTTGCAAAGGAAGGAACAGATAATTTCATAATTAATTATAAGCTCCAATCTAAAGACTCAAGGCCTATTAAATTTGTCAATGCAGAAACACTTAAAAAAGTTAATCCAAAGTAACTTTTAAAGTGGATTAATTAAAATGAATTAAAGTCATGTATTGATCCTTTTATTCAGATTTTCAATGCCTTTAATTCAATGTAGTCCACTTCAGACTTCAAAGTGAATTACGCTAAATTAAATTAGGGATATTTTTATTCTAAATATGTGTCTACACTGGGATTAATACATTTTAACATATTTAACATTTAACATGCACAGGACTACAGACACTCTAAAAAAACCCTACAATGAATTATCTACTTCAAGACAGCTGCCTATGCTCACATACTTTCTCCATAAAAAATTCAATTTAAGGTAACCTTCTTGCTTTTGCAATGAGAAGGGGCAAGCTGGTCATTTGTCATTTATTCATATCTTACTTTGACATGTTGGGTATGTCCTTCTTATTTCCACATTCAGTTGATTTAGATAGGCTTACTTGAGCATCCAAGACAAGTACTTTTTGGATGCAGTTAAATCTGAATGAGCGCAATGAGAAACTGACTTCTAAACCCAAAATAATGTTATTTTGGAATTTATATGTGTGTGTGTGTGTGTGTGCTGCTAATCTTTCTCACATGAACAGTTCATTTTTTAAAAACATCTTAGAAAGACAGTTTTGATGGAAAATTGATTACAACTCCTGAGCATGGCAATGACAATGCTTGTTCTCTTTTCTGAGAATGAAAAGCATGTGACAAATGCTGACCTTTGAATTTCAGACAAAGTTTTTATGTAGAGGCAAGAGGCTCCTCATTTCTGGAAATGTTATTTTTCTCTGTACAGTTATTTGACTTTCAGAAACCTAAGAGTTGAAGTTGTGATTTTTAATAAAAAAACCCTGATCTTATCTTGTAAACTAAGTATAAAAATAGAACAGTAGTAATATTTCTTTCAATACTTTCAAAGCATAATGAATTACTGAAATATGATGTTCAAAATACAAGTAAGTTCATGCTTTAAAACTTTTTCTCCATGGTATTACAAGAAATTTTTTGAAAATAAAAGTAAGACAATATAAAGGATCTAATGTAACAGCCACTGTCATGGTTAACACGCTACATTAGGATTTTCAGAGTTCGAAGCAAAAGTAGCTGTATTTCAGACTAAAAATACATCATTCTTATGATTGTTTTTGAATGAGATTTAAACCAAGAACACCTATAATGTGTTCCATAACACAAAGAAGCAGGAGGGTGGAGGGCTGTTGTCCAAATTTTTGCACACCTGAGATTAAGATCATGTCTGAATGGATCCTTAGTCAAAAGGATTTGAAAATTACACATGCAGTTAATTTCTAGTGGTACTTTTTCTAAGGGATTATTACCTTTTTTTTTTTGGCCACACGAAGGTGGCATGGAATAAAGAAAACAAAAACACATAGGCATAATACCACATGGAAAGGTGGAAGAATTTGTTTTTATTCATAAAAATTCAACAGTGAAAGGCAACAGTGAGACGTGGTCCAAAGGATGAGAAGAATCTATACAGCGAATTTTTATCTTGCATTGGCTATTCAACAGGCAGAACCAGAAAGACAGTTCAGTGCTATCTTCTATGCAATTCTATTGGATACAGATGACGCAAATAAAGTTTTCTCAAGGTGGAAAAAAAAGTCTACTTAAAGCAAGAAAGAACCAAGAAATTATGTTCATCTCACATTAATATTATAAGAAATTAAATAGACTAACCCTAACTAATCAAATAAAAATACCGTAAGCTGTAAACATTCTAAAGATTCAAGTGGGAAAGTTGATTTCTAAATATGATCTCAGGAAAGAAAGAAAAATCAAAAAGGTCTTAAAATTAGAAAATTAGTTTAGATAGGAGAACTGAAATGTCATATGAAAACTTTTAAGGTTTTAATTTCATTTAGATTTGTGAGGCTGCCTGTGCTGCTGAAATATAATAGATATTGTCCTATACTAAAATATGTACCAAATACCTCTTCTTTTTTTATCGAAAGATCTGTTTAGCTTTAGAGTGGCAGAACTTAACTCCATTAAATAGTACCATCAAGAGACTACATGAAACTGTTTAGGGAATGACAAACCACTGTTTCTGACAAACTATTGAAATATGTGCCATTTATGATGCAAAATCAACAAGCCTTAACATGATTTTAGCATTTGTACTTTTTCTTCTGGTCTGAGGAAATTAGCGAAACAAGCCCTAGCTTCCACTGAAAAAAATAAAAAAGCCTTACTTGAATGTATTACAAAACTGTATGACACCACTGGCTAGGAAGCTGATTTTCAGAATAGCCCATGTCAGTGTCATTTCAGATCTGTAAACACAACAATGGATGTTTATGAAAACCTAGATCGAATTAACACTTTCATTATTACCTTTTTTCTTATTTGAATCAAAGTCCTCCAGCAGTCTTCAACCATTTGCAACTTGTAAACATTTAAAAAAATTCAGATTGCAGTACAAAAGACATAAAGTTTTTGAGATCCACTAGGGAAACAGCATATGGACCCCAAAGTGTGGACAGGCTGCAACTTGACAAAAACAGATCAATGAGTGACCTTAGAGTGCTGAAGGAGCCAAATGTCCTGAGGGAGCTTTCAGTTAAGCCATGTCCTGCCTAAAAAGTGTTTGAAATCACTGAAGGAAATCAACTGTCAGAGATAAGAGTAAACTGTAATTTTATAGAAGGAAAGCTCTCATCCTAGTTTAGAGAAGGAAAATCAGCAAAGCCAGTCTGGTCAGGAGAAGGCTCCAGGAGACCATGCCAGTTGAATAGTACTCAAGTGATCCTAAAGCAAAAGGAGGAAGTGTAGGGTTTATTACTTTTTTTAAAAAATATCTTTGTTAAGAATGATAAGTATCACAACAACTCTGCTAATCTTGTATTCTGTATTTTCATTGATGTTCACCTCCTCATGGGGGAAAAATAAGGAATCCTTCTAGCTGAAATACAGTGCTTAGTGTGTTGTGGCAATGCCTGCAGGTAAATCTT